AATAGCAGGGTGAGGTGGCAGGATGGCATGGAGAGATGGTTTGGGGTGGCAGGGTAGCAGGGTGAGGTGGCTGGGGTGGCAGGATGGCAATGGAGAGATGGTTGGGGTGGCAGAGGTAGCAGGGTGAGGTAGGCTGGGGTGGCAGGATGGCATGGAGAGATGGTTGGGTGGTAGAATAGCAGGGTGAGGTGGGTGGCAGGATGGCAGGATGGCATGGAGAGATGGTTGGGGTGGCAGGGTAGCAGGGTGAGGTGGCTGGGGTGGCAGGATGGCAATGGAGAGATGGTTGGGGTGGCCAGGGTAGCAGGGTGAGGTGGGTGGCTGGGGCAGGCAGCAGGATGGCAATGAGAGATGGTTGGGGTGGTAGAATGAGCAGGGTGAGGTGGCAGGATGGCATGGAGAGATGGTTGGGTGGAATAGCAGGGTAGGTGGCTGGGGTGGCAGGATGGCAATGGAGAGATTTGGGTGGCAGGGTAGCAGGGTGAGGTGGCTGGAGTGGCAGGATGGCAATGGAGAGATGGTTGGGGTGGTAGAATAGCAGGATGAGGTGGCTGGGGTGGCAGGATGGCAATGGAGAGATGGTTGGGGTGGTAGAATAGCAGGGTGGGGTGGCAGGATGGCATGGAGAGATGGTTGGGGTGGTAGAATAGCAGGATGAGGTGGCTGGGGTGGCAGGGATGGCAATGGAGAGATGGTTGGGGTGGTAGAATAGCAGGGTGAGGTGGCTGGGGTGGCAGGATGGCAATGGAGAGATGGTTGGGGTGGTAGAATAGCAGGGTGAGGTGGCTGGGGTGGCAGGATGGCATGGAGAGATGGTTGGGGTGGCAGGGTAGCAGGGTGAGGTGGCTGGGGTGGCAGGATGGCATGGAGAGATGGTTGGGGTGTGGTAGAAAGCAGGGTGAGGTGGCTGGGGTGGCAGGATGGCAAATGGAGAGATGGTTGGGGTGGTAGAATAGCAGGGTGAGGTGGCAGGATGGCAATGGAGAGATGGTTGGGGTGGTAGGTAGCAGGGTGAGTGGCTGGGGTGGCAGGATGGCAATGGAGAGATGGTTGGGGTGGTAGAATAGCAGGGTGAGGTGGCTGGGTGGCAGGATGGCAATGGAGAGATGGTTGGGGTGGTGAATAGCAGGGTGAGGTGGCTGGGGTGGCAGGATGGCATGGAAGATGTTGGGGTGGTAGAATAGCAGGGTGAGGTGGCAGGATGGCATGGAGAGATGGCAGGGTGAGGTGGTGGGGTGGCAGGATGGCAATGGAGAGATGGTTGGCAGGATAGCAGGTGAGGTGGCTGGGGTGGCAGGATGGCAATGGAGAGATGGTTGGGGTGGAGGCAGGGTGAGGTGGCTGGGGTGGCAGGATGGCATGGAGAGATGGTTGGGTGGCAGGGTAGCAGGTGAGGTGGCTGGGTGGCAGGATGGCATGGAGAGATGGTTGGGGTGGTAGAATAGCAGGGTGAGGTGGCTGGGGTGGCAGGATGGCATGGAGAGATGGTTGGGGTGGTAGAATAGCAGGGTGAGGTGGCTGGGGTGGCAGGATGGCAATGGAGAGATGGTTGGGGTGGTAGAATAGCAGGGTGAGGTGGGGTGGCAGGATGGCATGGAGAGATGGTGGGGGTGGCAGGGTAGCAGGTGAGGGCTGGGTGCAGGATGGCATGGAGAGATGGTTGGGGTGGCAGGGTAGCAGGGTGAGGTGGCTGGGGTGGCAGGATGGCATGGAGAGATGGTTGGGTGGCAGGGTAGCAGGGTGAGGTGGCTGGGTGGCAGGATGGCAATGGAAGATGGTTGGGGTGGCAGGCAGGGTGAGGTGGCTGGGTGGCAGATGGCATGAGAGATGGTTGGGTGGTAGAATAGCAGGGTGAGGTGGCAGGATGGCATGGAGAGATGGTTGGGGTGGCAGGGTAGCAGGGTGAGGTGGCTGGGGTGGCAGGATGGCAATGGAAGATGGTTGGGGTGGAGTAGCAGGGTGAGGTGGCAGGATGGCATGGAGAGATGGTTGGGTGGCAGGGTAGCAGGGTGAGGTGGCTGGGTGGCAGGATGGCAATGGAGAGATGGTTGGGGTGGCAGGAGCAGGTGAGGTGGCTGGGGTGCAGGATGGCATGGAGAGATGGTTGGGGTGTAGGTAGCAGGGTGAGGTGGCTGGGGTGGCAGGATGGCAATGGAGAGATGGTTGGGTGGTTAAGAATGGTGAGGGTGGGTGGCAGGATGGCATGGAGAGATGGTTGGGGTGGCAGGGTAGCAGGGTGAGGTGGCTGGGGTGGCAGGATGGCAATGGAGAGATGGTTGGGGTGGCAGGGTAGCAGGGTGAGGTGGCTGGGGTGCAGGATGGCAATGGTGGTTGGGGTGGCAGAATAGCAGGGTGAGGTGGGCTGGGGTGGCAGGATGGCAATGGAGAGATGGTTGGGGGTGGCAGAATAGCAGGGTGAGGTGGCTGGGGTGGCAGGATGGCATGGAGAGATGGTTGGGGTGGTGAATAGCAGGGTGAGGTGGCTGGGGTGGCAGGATGGCAATGGAGCGGTGGCAGGGTAGCAGGAGTGGCAGGATGGCAATGGAGAGATGGTTGGGGTGGTAGAATAGCAGGGTGAGTGGCGGTGGCAGGATGGCAATGGAGAGATGGTTGGGGTGGCAGGGTGGGTGGCAGGATGGCATGGAGAGATGGTTGGGTGGTAGAATAGCAGGGTGAGGTGGCTGGGGTGGCAGGATGGCAATGGAGAGATGGTTGGGGTGGAGAATAGCAGGGTGAGGTGGCTGGGGTGGCAGGATGGCAATGGAGAGATGGTTGGGGTGCAGGGTAGCAGGGTGAGGTGGCTGGGGTGGCAGGATGGCAATGGAGAGATGGTTGGGGTGGCAGGGTAGCAGGGTGAGGTGGCTGGGGTGGCAGGATGGCAATGGAGAGATGGTTGGGGTGGTAGAATAGCAGGGTGAGGTGGCTGGGTGCAGGGATGGCATGGAGAGATGGTTGGGGTGGTAGAATAGCAAGGGTTGGGTGGCAGGATGGCAATGGAGAGATGGTTGGGGTGGCTAGCAGGGTGAGGTGGCTGGGGTGGCAGGATGGCAATGGAGAGATGGTTGGGGTGGTAGAATAGCAGGTGAGGTGGCTGGGGTGGCAGGATGGCAATGGAGAGATGGTTGGGGTGGTAGAATAGCAGGGTGAGGTGGCTGGGGTGGCAGGATGGCATGGAGAGATGGTTTGGGGTGTTAGAATAGCAGGGTGGTGGCAGGATGGCATGGAGAGATGGTTGGGGTGCAGCGGGTAGCAGGGTGAGGTGGCTGGGGTGGCAGGATGGCAATGGAGAGATGGTTGGGTGGCAGGGTAGCAGGTGAGGTGGCTGGGGTGGCAGGATGGCAATGGAGAGATGGTTGGGGTGGTGAATAGCAGGTGAGGTGGCTGGGGTGGCAGGATGGCAATGGAGAGATGTTGCAAGCAGGGTGAGGTGGCTGGGGTGGCAGGATGGCATGGTTGGGGTGGCAGGGTAGCAGGGTGAGGTGGCTGGGGTGGCAGGATGGCATGGAGAGATGGTTGGGTGGTAGAATAAGCAGGTGAGGTGGCTGGGGTGGCAGGATGGCATGGAGAGATGGTTGGGGTGGTAGAATAGCAGGTGAGGTGGCTGGGTGGCAGGATGGCAATGGAGAGATGGTTGGGGTGGAGGGTAGCAGGTGAGGTGGCTGGGGTGGCAGGATGGCATGGAGAGTGGGTTGGGGTGGCAGGGTAGCAGGTGAGGTGGCTGGGGTGGCAGGATGGCATGGAGAAGGTTTGGGGTGGTCAGGGTAGCAGGGTGGTGAGGGCTGGGGTGGCAGGATGGCAATGAGAAGATGGTTGGTGGTTGGTAGAATAGCAGGGTGAGTGCTGGTGGCAATGGATGGAGAGATGGTGGAGTGGTAGAATAGCACGGGGCTGGGGTGGCAGGATGCATGGCAGAGATGGTTGGGGTGGAGAATAGCAGGTGAGGTGGTGGGTGGCAGGAGGCAATGGGAGATGGTTGGGCTGGATAGAAATACAGAGGTGGCTGGTGGTGCAGGATGGCATGGAAATGGTTGGGTGGTAGGATAGAGGGTGAGGTGGCTGGGGTGGCAGGATGGCAATGGAGAGATGGTTGGCGTGGTAGAATAGCAGGGTGCGGGTGGGGTGGCAGGATGGAATGGAGAGATGGTTGGGGTGGTAGAATAGCAGGGTGAGTGGCAGGATGGCATGGAGGGAGATGGTTGGGGTGGCTAGGAATAGCAGGGTGAGGTGGCAGGAGGCATGGAGAGATTAGTTGGGTGGTAGAATAGCAGGGTGAGGTGGCTGGGGTGGCAGGATGGCAATGGAGAATGGTTTGGGGTGGATAGAATAGCAGGGTTGAGGTGGCTGGGGTGGCAGGATGGCAATGGAGAGATGGTTTGGTCAGTAATAGCAGGGTTGAGGTGGCAGGATGGCATGGGAGATGGTTGGGATGGTAGAATAGCAGGGTAGGTGGCTGGGTGGTGGCAGGATGGCATGGAGAGATGTTGGGTGTAGTAGCAGGGTAGTGGCTGGGGGGCAGGATGGCAATGGAGAGATGGTTGGTGTAGAATAGCAGGTGAGGTGGCTGGGGTGGCAGGATGCATGGAGAGATGGTTGAGGGTGGTTTTAGAAACATGAAGGGGCTGGGGTGGCAGATGGGCAATGGAGAGATGGTTTGGTGGTGGCAGATAGCCAGGTGGGTGGCTGGGGGGTGCAGGATGGCATGGAGAGATGGTTGTGGTAGAATAGCAGGATTGAGGTCTGGTGCAGGATGCAAGGAGAGATGTTGCGGTGTAGGAATAGCAGGGTGAGGTGGCTGAGGTGGCAGGGATGGCAATTGGAGAGATGGTTGGGGTGGCAGGGTAGAGGGTGAGGTGGCTGGGCAGGATTGGCAAGGAGAGATGTTGGGGTGGCAGGGTAGCAGGGTGAGGTGCGGGGTGCAGATGGCAATGGGAGAGATGGTTGGGTGGTTGAATAGCCATGAGGTGCTGGTGGCAGGATGGCCATGGAGAGATGGTTGGGGGTTAGATTAGTGGCTGGGTGCAGGGGCAGGAGCAGGTGATGGCAGGTGCAGAGTGTCGGTGGCAGGATGCCTTGTGGGTGGAGAATAAGCAGGATGGGTGGCTGGGGGTGGCAGGATGGCAATGGAGAGATGGTTGGGTGGTAGAAGCAGGGGTGAGGTGCTTGGGGTGCAGGATGGCATGGATGAGATGGTTGGGGTGGCTAGCGGTAGCAGGTGAGGTGGCTGGGTGGAGGATGGCATGGAAGAGATGTTGGGGGTGGCGGGTAGCAGGGTGAGATGGCTGGGGTGGCAAGATGGCGATGGAGAGATGCGTCTGGGGTGTGGCAGGAGCAGGGTGAATGGTGGCTGGGTGGCAGGATGCAGAGAGATGGTTGGCGGTGGTTAGAATAGCAGGGTGAGGTGGCTGCGACGGTGCAGCGATGCATGGAGAGATGGTTGGGGTGTAGAAATAGCAGGGTGACGGGCATGGCAATGGAGAGATGGTTGGGGTGTGGCAGGGTAGCAGTGAGGTGGCTGGGGCGGCAGAGATGCATGGAGAGATGGTTGGGGTGGCCAGGGTACAGGTGAGGTGGCTGGGGTGGCAGGATGGCATGGAGAGATGGTTGGGGTTGGCAGGGTGCAGGTGAGGATGCCTGGGGTGCAGGATGCCAATGGAGAGATGGTTGGGGTGGTAGAAGGTAGCAGGGTGAGGTGGCTGGGGGTGCAGGATGGCATGGAGAGATGGTTGGGTGTAGAATAGGCAGGGTGAGTGGCTGGGGTGCAGGATGGCATGGAGAGATGTTGGGGTGGCTGAGATAGCAGGGTGAGGTGGCTGGGTCGGTGGCCAAGGGATGGCATGGAGAGATGGTTGGGGTGGCAGGGTTAGCAGGGTGAGGTGGCTGGGTGGCAGGATGCAATGGAAGATGGTTGGAGGTGGCAGAATAGCAGGGGTGAGGGGCTGGGTGCAGGATGCATGGAGAGATGGTTGTGGTGGCTAGCAGGTGAGGTGGCTGGAGTGGCAGGATGCATGGAATGAGATGGTTGGGTGGAGATGAGCAGGGGGTGGCTGGGGTGCAGGATGGCATGAAGAGATGTTGGGGTGGCAGGTAGCAGGTGAGGTGGTGGGGTGGCAGGATTGGCATGGAGAGATGGTTGGGGTGGTAGAATAGCAGGGTGAGGTGGGGGGTGGCAGGATGGCATGGAGAGATGGTGGGGTGGTAGATAGGGGGTGAGGTGGCTGGGTGGTGGCAGGATGGCATGGAGAGATTGGGGTGGTAGGGGTGAGGTGGTGGGGTGGCAGGATGGCATGGAGAGATGGTTGGGGGTGGAGATAGCAGGGTGAGGTGGCAGGGATGGCATGGAGAGATGGTTGGGGTGGCAGGGTAGCAGGGTGAGTGCTGGGTGGCAGGATGCAATGGAGAGATGGTTGGGGTGCAGGGTAGCAGGGTGGTGGCTGGGATGGCAGGATGGCATGGAAGTGGTTGGGGTTGGCAGGGTGCAGGTGAGGGGCTGGGGTGGCAGGATGGCATGGAGAGATGGTTGGGGTGGTAGAATAGCAGGGTGAGGTGGCTGGGTGGCAGGATGGCATGGAGAGATGGTTGGGGTGTAAGAATAGCAGGGTGAGGTGGCTGGTGGCAGGATGGCAATGGAGAGATGGTTGGGTGCAGGGTAGCAGGGTGAGGTGGCTTGGGGTGGCAGGATGGCAATGGAGAGATGGTGGGGTGCAGGGTTAGAGGATGGCATGAGAGATGGTTGGGGTGCAGGTGAGTGGCGGATGGCATGGAGAGATGGTTGGGGTGGCAGGTAGCAGGGTGAGGTGGCTGGGGTGCAGGATGGCATGGAGAGATGGTTGGGTGGCAGGTAGCAGGGTGAGGGCTGGGTTGGCAGGATGGCAATGGAGAGATGTTGGGGTGTAGAATAGCAGGTGAGGGTGGCTCATGGAGAGATTGGTTGGGGAGGAGGATAGCAGGGTGAGGTGAGGTGGCATGGGTTGAGGGAGGATAGCAAGATGAAGGGTGAGGGTGGAGAGGTGATCAGCAGGGAGAGGTGATTTGGGTGGCAGGATAGCAGGGAGACGTCGGGATGGCATCAAGGGGTAGGGTATGGCGAGATAACACGGGCAAGAGGGTTGAGGTGGTAGGATGGCAGAGGGGGGGGGGGTCGGGTCGTTGCAAGAGGCAGGCCGTGGCAAAGTAGCATTGTAAGGTGGGTTGGGTGGTAGCAAGAGCCAAGTCGCGACTCTTTCTCTCTCTCTCTATCTATCTATCTCTGTTTCTCTCTCGTTACGCTTATTTTCAATTCTCATTGTGGCTAGTTTCATTTTCATATATAAATATATGTGTGTTGTGTGTGTGTGTGTTTGTGTGAGTGTGTGTGTGTGTGTGTGTGTGTGTGTGTGTGTGTGTGTGTGTGTGTGTGTGTGTGTGTGTGTGTGTGTGTGTGTGTGTGTGTGTGTGTGTGTGTGTGTGTGTGTGTGTGTACATGTGTGTGTGTGTGCACACAGACACACAAACACACAGACATATACATGCACACATTCGCGTGCGTGGTCATGAGCGTGTGTGTTGTGTCGGCCAGTAGCAAAGTGATAGACAGACGGGGAGAGAGAAAGAGAAAATGAGCGCATTCGTGCAGGAGTCGTGAGAGCGCGGGCGGGACTGGTCGCGCTCGTACGTGCGAACGCCATCCCCTCAGCAGCTATTGCGTACAACGTAAATCATCCGAGGCTCCGAAAACCTTGCTTGGCCGTCTTAAGACGATCATGTTTTAAGTTCTTCTGCAAATAACACGCAATCATTCCCTTCTTCCCCCCGCGAGATGATGGCCTTTTACCAGGCTTCTTATCGCCAGGGGAAAGTAGCATTACGACATCGCGGGCTGTCTCGGCGGAAAGAGTAACTGCGAAGGCTCACCGAGGCTCGTAGGGTTTATCGCCGCTGGTGACATAAACCTACATATATGGGTTTTATTTCGGAATTGATTTTCTCGGGGAAAACCATAACAGTGCTCGTTTATATATTTTGGGAGGTTATCAGTTCCTTCATGATATTGAAATTTATCATGACTTTGTTGAACAATGTCCATCCTTTACATATGAATTACGTATGTACGTGCACGATAGTTAATTAGTTGAACCTTAAAACACGGTGCACCTTAATTACCCTTCCTTTAAACTACCACATCCCTTGCACGATGCGGGTTACCGAGCATATTCTCCTATCCATTTAACGTTTACTTCTATTCTGTTTTATACGCATGGGAAAGAAAATTACAAAAGTTTCTTACTCAAAATGATTGACGTGAGAAATCCCTCCATTGAACATCTTTCCTGTTTTGCGGCATTTTGTCGCCGTGCCTGTCAAGCGAGATGTGATAATAATGTAATTTATGATAATTGACTTTTTACGGAGCTGTTGCATGCTCATTGAGGGGAAATCTTGTAGTAAGTAAAAGTAAATGTTTTTCAATCTAATACTTACAAGAAGTCAAAGCTTATCGTACAAATTCTTTGCATGGGAAATCCGAAATTCATATATCAGTAGGAATACACCTCGTCTCTTTACACGTGGTTGCGTTTTCTCGGAGGCGAATGATGGCAGATAAAAGAAATATGAATATCCTATAAACAGAATTTTCCGCTAGATAATTCAGGTTTTATAGGACTTTTGCGTCACACGGCGAGCTACGCGGACACAATACTTTTTTTTTTTTTTTTAGTAGAAGTGATACTTCTTCCTCAAATGTATTGCAGTTGTGCAAACGTTTACATATTGCTTGGATGAACCAGAATTTATTCCATACATACACCTGTGTGTATATTTGCATTTTGTTTATTGTCGCCCCGTTTGCATTTGCACTAGATATATGAAAGCGCTTATTCACGCGAGGAAATAATCTTGTATACAAATATGAGAAATATGCTTTCAGAAGCATATAGATACACACGAACAAATGCAGACAGACGCATGGACAAACATATCCACACACAATAACTTGTATAAACAGGAATAAAAACGTACGCAAACACACACGATTTCGCACATGTATGGACAAAGATATACTGTATGTACACGCAAAGTCGAATTAAGTACTTATATTTTAAGTACATTGTTCAAACACACACGCGCGCACACACACACACACACACACGACATCCCTCACATCCACCACTCACGCAAAAAGGTCAAAATAATCCACAGGCGTCAGCCATCCCGGTCGCCGCGGAGCCGCCCTGACAAATATGCTTCGACGCACAACAAAAAATAGACAACTGGACGCGGACCAATTAGAGGCCGGCCAGTACACGATAACCTGAGCGTAATTGTCGACAATTAGGGATGTGTTGTTGTGCTGATGTGATCTGTAAACTTTCCCGGAATTCGGCTATCAGGATATACTCTCATGGGGTATGCTAAATGGCAGTTTACCAAGCACGTTGTATACACATAAATATATGCATGCATGTCGACATACACACAAACAAACATCCATCCATCTATCTATCTATCTATCTACCTATATACATACATACATAAATATATATATATATATATATATATATATATATATATATATATATATATATATATATATATATATATATATATATATGTGTATATATATATATATATATATTATATATATATATATATATATATATATATATATATTTACATATATACATGCACACACACACACCAGACACATATATATGAGTTTGTGTGTGTGTGTGGATAGATATATGGATGGGTAGGCAGATAGATTTAGACATAGACAGACAGAAAGAGAGAGGGAGAGATAGAAAGATAGAGAGAGGCGATAGACTTACAAGCGCAGATGTATTTGGTCAGTCGTAGGTTGCGGTGGCAGAGGCGGCCAGCGAAGTGGTGGCACCAGCTACACAGATGTGGTGGGAGAACTCTACGGAATATTGATAATTAAATTCATAGCTAAAAAGGAATATATAAAAGATAAATATAATATATATATATATATATATATATATATATATATATATATATATATACATGCATACATATGTATATATATATATATATATATATATATATATATATATATATATATATATATATATATATGTGTGTGTGTGTGTGTGTGTGTGTGTGTGTGTGTGTGTGTGTGTGTGTGTGTGTGTGTGTGTGTAAACACCCACATACATACATACATACATATGTATATATATATATATATATATATATATATATAGAGAGAGAAGAGAGAGAGGAGAGAGAGAGAGAGAGAGAGAGAGAGAGAGAGAGAGATAGATATAGATATTAGATAGATAGATAGATATAGATAGATAGATAGATAGATAGATAGATAGATAGAAGATATAGATAGATATAGTTATTATTTATATATCTATATCTATATATCTATATCTATATCTATATCTATATCTATCTATATCTATCTATCTATCTATCTATATATATATATATATATATATATATATATATATATATATATATATATATATATATATATATATATATATATATATATATATATATATATATATACGCACACGAGGGGCACTCATTAAAGATTTCCCCTGATCCTTTTCTGCTTACCCAAAGAAGCTGAAATTTCACATGCATAGAGACAGATATCTCCTACTGTTGATTTGCAGTGCTTAACTTACAATAGATCTGTTGCAGCTGTGAATGTCCAGTAAGGTGTGAAAATGGAACTAGTGGAGTAATTAGTGATCTAGTCAGAGAGCCCAGGGAGATTTAATCAGCATGTCGAATACAAAAGGTTTGGCACCTGGGTTGAACACCTAAGGGGCCATGGATCCCTAAACGGCCATTCTTAAGTGAACACGTTGTGGGTTTGGCCACTTAAGAACGACCTAATTAATGCTAATTACCACTTTTAATCAGCATGTTGAGTACATCAGTGAAACCTTTACAGAATATACTTTACGGCATGCTGATATCATATTGGTAATTCGTAAGTGTCGGTTTTGTGGAAAAAGCCACTTAAGAAGAGGTCAAAGGTACTGGGTCAAGATTGGACTTCAAATGTAAATTTTAATGGGAGGAATAAGGATCACTTGTTTAATCATCCATTCTCGGGTAGCGTTATTACACAGAACAAAAAAAGTGAAAAAATGGGTACGCTTTTTACTCACACTGGCTTTAAAGTTTTATCAGCATGGTTGAGGACATCCATGAAACCTACACCAAAATGTTCCTCTACCAACACATAATAAGAATCAATCATTCTTGTGTCAAAATTTTGGACAAATCCACTTAAGAACGACGGACAGGTCAAAGTGCACTCGTTGACCCAACCAAAGGTTTCACTCATCATGCGGAGTACATCAATAAAACTTGCAGGATATGTTCCCCGAGACATCTTGACAGCATCCAAGCCTTTCTTAAGTATCTCCATGCTGATTAAATTTCTCTGGGCTCTCTGACTAATCAGGTTTCTATACTTGAATGACCGCACACCACAAGAGACCTTCGATGAAATGAACGCAACTTTTGAGAATGCCCCATCATGTGACGTTGTTAAACAGTGGCATCGCCAGTTCAGGTGTAGTCAGAGATCCGTGGAAACGGCTCCTATCCCAGGGCGACCCCATCTGCCACTGATGAGTGCACATCCATCAGTGGAGACTGCCACTTTGGACGATTGCCGTATTGCTGTTCGTCAGTTAGCCTAAGATGCCAAGATTAGTGTTGGGTCTGTGGACAAAATCTTTTATGACCATCTGCATGTGCCAAAAAAGTCAGGACTTCTTTGACAGACTAATTACGCACCTGGCAGCTGTGAAGCAGCAGTGCGCGCGATCTGTTCATATGTAAACAGCTACCAGGAAAAACGCGCTCTCATCAAAATTGACATGAAAAATGCTTTCACCTGTATTCGTAGAGACGTTTTTTAGGGCATCAAAAGAATAAATTTCATGCTTCTTTCGGTTCCTCTAGCAGGCCTATTTAAAGGCCTCTTACCTCTTTTACGTAGAGACCTTGCTGCAATTTGTGACAGGATGGCAGCAAGGGGACTCTTCAGGTCCAGGCCTTTTCTTTGTTAGCGTCGACAGGCCCTCCAGTTACCAACTAATGAATTTAATATATGGTACCTGGATGATGCAACACTGGGTGGCACTGTATAGAATGTTTTGACTGATCTGCCCAACCTCATCTCGGAGCTGCAGTCAGTGATGCCAATTTCGAATCTATTCTCCCCAGCCACTCACAAGAGGAAAAATGACAGACTCTTAAGGCGTTTTAAGCAGGGAAAGTTCTTGCCTAAAATCTTAACTTTTTCTTGCAAACTCAAGAAATTTTCTTGCTTTCTCAAGCGACCCCGGTAGATGGCTAGACTTGCGCTTGCTAAGCGGTGTACCGTCACCTTGGCAACAGCGTCATTCGTGTACCGGAATGGTTACAATCCTGTGAATGCGGGCGTTGGCCAAGAATTTCGCTTAATATTTTATCAAAGAATTTTTTTACGGTATCCGATTCTGTAATTTCCATATAATCGTATTCAATTAAAATGAAATTAACTGAAAACGAAAGGAGATAGTGGAGATTATGGGAATAAAAAGTTTTCTTTTAAATCATAAATCATTATGACAAATAATTTATCTCTTACTTTTAAACTTTTCGTCTCTAAATCGAGAATACATCTACTATTCAACGAAATATTTCAAGTGAAAAAGTTTGAAAAAATTCTAGCAACATTCATCAGTTGATATTGTATTCGGTGACTATTACTTTCGACTTAATAAAATCGAATATATGGAAATGGATAGGCCTATATTTTAATTCAGTGATGTTCATTTGTTTTGATAGCACGTCAGAATGTAAGGGTTGCCAATCGGGTGTCACTGTTTTAGAGGCACTGTATATGCATATAGGAAAAAATATTGCGCTTTGTAAAGATGTTAGGGTAGATTTATTTACTTCTCTGCCATCTTGATGCAGCGCTAGCTTGTCAGTTGTTTTGAAATGTCCGCTCACACTTATCAACCGGCAGTGAAATAAACTTCACCCTCTACTTATTCGTGTTATCTCTCTCCGAGATTGTTGATGGGAATACTTGTCTATTGCTTTTAAAACCCGAGTATGTATATGTTGTTTGTTATTTTGACATTTCTATGCTCTCCGGAGGTATGTTATGATTTGTACTTTATAGAAAGACACTTCTACATGCCTGGCATCACCGAACAAGTCTTGCTTGCCGA